TTCAAACTGCTAATTTTCAACAGTTTGAAATATTCAGAATTGTGATTTGATTGATAAACTAAGGCTAAGCAAAATACAAATTAAGAACGCCAAATTGTATTCAACTTATCGCAAAAGAATTTAACTACAGTGACGATGTTGGTGACAACAGAGATAACACTGTTAACTTTCCATGGCAATTCTTTGTATCGTTAGAAAAAAAAATAAATGCAACTTGAAAACATTTGTTCAAGTCTACCGACCGGAAGAATCAAGAAGAGCGACGACAAGAAGAAATCAGTTACGGTGAAATATAAGTTCAGAATGCAAAACATATTCATCAAGAAGAACCAATATAAGTTGTCAAAATTCTTATAATTAAGCAAAACAGCAAAGATGCTTTGTCTTAAGTAGCTTCGTTGTCTAAAAATATTACTCATAAAAAAACGAGCTGTTGGCAGACTGAAATACGCTGTACTTTTGATCTGATAAATGCTGCAGATTCTTTTACTAGTGAATCAGCGCTGGTTTATCACCACAGAACAACGCAATGAATATGTAACGTGTCAATAAATTTCATGCACTCTACTGAAAAAAAAATAAAAGCAATATATGCCTGGAAAAAAACGAACAACAGATTGAACAACAGATAATCTGATTTTGGTCAAGAATGACGATATTTCAAAATGATTTGAAAAATCAAGATTTTCTGTTATCAAAATAACAGGAAATCTTAATTTTCTTTCCTGTTGAGGATACTTTGAACAGCATAATACAGACAACTGATCACAGAGTTTGAAGGCTCGGTGCTATTAAGCAAAACTGGTCTGCATTCGGCAGTTTTGATATTAAGGCTCTTCTTGTTCATAAAGCTGAAGAATGTGTTGAAAAATTTGAATGTACAGATAAAACACACACACAGACATCGAGGTGAAATTGCTGAAAATTTTTTTTTAGGAAATTCATTTTAGTGAAAAATTTTACTGTTGTAAAAAAACTGCAGAAGCTAGAAAAAATTTTTATTTTCATATATTTGCGTATATAAGCAGAAAACAAAGCATATTTATTTGGGCTTCAGAAATCACCTATTTCTTCTCTGTTTTTGTTGTTGCCTTTTTTACTCTTAAAAATTTATTATCTTCTAATAACACTGCCATTCTGACTAATACCTTTACTCTGTAATCCCTTAACGTTTTATGTAATCTGACAAGAGGTAAACTTCAAATTTCTATTAAGAATTCGTCAATATCCATTTCCTTCTCAACCTTCAAACAATGTATGATGCAGCGAAACATCCACGAAAAA